CTTCTCCCTCTCCCACTCCCCCTGCTTGTGTTCCTGCTCTCACTGTCTCTCTCTCTCTCTCTCTCAAATAAATAAAATCTTTAAAAAAATAATAATAAAGGGGCGCCTGGGTGGCTCAGTCCGTTAAGCCGCTGCCTTCGGCTCAGGTCATGATCCAGGCGTCCTGGGATCAAGTCCCGCATCGGGCTCCCTGCTCTTTGGGAGCCTGCTTCTCCCTCTGCCTCTCTCTCTCTCTCTCATGAATAAATAAATAAAATCTTTAAAAAAAAAAAAAAAGAATTGACCTAGGAACAACATGGACTTGAACTTCGAAGGTCCACTGATAAGCGTATTTTTCCCGATAAATATGGTATAGTACTGTAAGTGTACTTTCTCTTCCTTATCATTTTCTTTAATGTTTCCTTTTCTCCAGCTTACGTTACTGTAAGAATACAATATATAAAAAATACAACATACAAATATGTGTTCATCAACTGCCTATGTTATTGGAAAGACTTCCAGTCAACAGTAGGCTATTAATAGTTAGGATTTCAGGGAATCCAAAGTTATATGCAGACTTTCAACTGTGTGGGGGTTTGGCATCCCTAACCCGTGAGTTGTTCAAGGGTCTACTGTACTTCGAGGCATACAACTGGATTCAGCAACACTGGAAATCCCTTCCGTCATTAAATGAGTTTTATTCCAGAGTCCCCTCCCTGCAGTGAGCCACCCACCCCAGCAACCACGTGCTCTCCGTGTCCACTGTGGCAGCGTCCCAGCTCCTGGCTCCTGAACAGGTAGCACTCGTGGCTCAGTGACCAAACAACCCTGTGCCAAGGCCACCCTTACCTGATCTCCCCGGCCCTGTGGTCTGGGAAACGCTCATGGAAAAGCTTCAGTGCCTGCATCACGGCCGAGGTGCACTCCACATATGTGTAGTCAATCATGATGTCCCCTGAGAGAGGGAAGGAAGGATCAACACATACATGAGTTTCATCTTGTCACCCAATTTGGCAACTCACGCCAAACCACGAAGAATGAGAGCGCCATAACATGCAGAGCCTACACGGGACAGCAAGAACCTGATCATCCTCCAGAGGAAACAAGGAAAGGGTTCCCAGTGACTGGTCCAGGAGACATGGCCACCAGGTGGGAGGGTGGCTGGCATTACACAGCGACCTGGAGACCCATATCTGGCTGTAGGACATTTGGGCCAGTGGGAGAGTGAAGGAGAGAGGTACAGGGCAGAGCCACACCCCAGCCCAACTAGACCACATTTAACAGTTACAGAAGTGAGACAGAGACCGGAAAGCAGGGGTCCAGGGGCATGTGAGGGCAGCACTCAGGGAAAGAGGCCGCCCTGGCAGACTAGAACCGTCGGACACAGCAGGGAGGACACAGGGCCAGTGCGTCCCCACCGACACCTCCCTGCAATGTGCCTGGGCTCTGTGAAGAGCACCCAGGACACAGGATGGTCTCCACAGAGGATAGAGCACACAGCAAGAGCCAGCCCGGGCTCGAGCCAGAAAGCCAGGTGTGAATCCCACTGACTCCTCCACCAACCTCAGAAACAAAACCACAGCTTCTCCATCCACACCCACAGGCACTATGGCCACCTTCCGAGGTGAGAAGCACAGCCTACTCCAGGGCTTAGGGGTGCTCCTTAAAGGGTCCACAGTCATTTGCAGAACCTTAGCTGGCGCTGCTCCCAGCCTGGGGAAACAACTCAGGGCTCTGGTTGGCGAATCCATCTCACAGCAGGCAGGGTCCCCGGGTCTGTGTACCACCTGGCTGGCCAACCACTCACCAAAGACCTCCGAGGGGTTCAGCAGCTCCAGCAAGTGCCCCCCACGCTTAGTCTCATAGGTGGCAAACCCTCCATCAGAATTTCTCATGTTCAGCAACTAAAACCAGAGAGAGGACATCCTGAGAGTTCACCCATGCACTTGAGCATGAGGGGGAAGCCCACAAGCTGCAGTGGACCTTTCTAGAAACACCCAAGGCTAAGACCCATGGGGCAGGGATAGGGAACGGGGAGCCAGTTCTCACATTAAACCGAGACCCTCAGTGCCTAGAGCAGTGGGCAACAACTTTATCAAGCAGGTGCTCCACGAGTGACCATCTGGGACCCTGGCATGCACTTGCTTATCCATTTATAAGTCACATGTATACCGCCAAGCTATATGACCTCCGTTGTAAAACATGCACAGAAACTGGGTGTCCTGAAAGGATTCTGTACAAACACAAACAGAAGTTCTCGTTTTCTCTTCAGATACCCAGTGGAGAATGCCAGCCCTCCCTGGCGAGGAGCCAGATCCACGAGCCTCCAACAGGACTCATGGTTTCCCCAAACACAGATACCACCAGAGGATGCGCCCCTCTGGGCTTGCAGTCTGACCCCGGGGAAAGCGCAGCTCACATGCGGCGCTAAGCGGACCTGAGGGTGTGTGGTGGGGCAGTCCGGGCCTCCGGCGTGCACAGTGCCCCGTGACCAGAGCCCCCTGCCCGGAGCCTCACCACAGCAACAGCATCATAGAGCCGCTCTCGCGCGACGTGCTTGGTGACAAAGGGACACTTTTCCTGCAGGAGAAGGATGGACTTCAAGGCCTCCGCTGTGCAGTCGGCAACAATCCAGCCACAGTCCAGCGTGCTGAAGGGAAAGCCACCCTGCAAAGTGTGGGGCCTGTCATGGCCAGCGTGGAGGGCTGAGCCCGCACCCGGGTCGTCAGGACCCCCCAAGGTGAGAGCACCCTTCCTCAGCGGTGCCGAGGCCCGGCCCCCAAAGAGGCGCAGCTGCGGCTCCACGCCACACACACGCGGACGGGCCTCCCGGCCCGCGGTGAGAAGGCGCACACGCTGTGTCCACGCTCCACACACCCAGAGGAGCTGCCCTCCGCCCTCTGCAGCACCCCCGTCACCCTGATCCGTGTTCCGACAGAACGCGGTCTCTGCTCTCTGCACACGCTGCCGTCTAAAAGCACCTCTGAGCGCACGTGTGTGTGCGTGTGCGTGTGCACGCGTGTGCGTGCGCACAGTACCGGACACGGCCGCATGAGGAAGCCCTGTACGGCTCAGCCACCTCGTATACCCATCTCCCCGGCCAGGGAAACCTCGGATGTGTTGCCGGAACCCCACGCCGTGTGTCTGTGAGAGCAGGAAGGCCCAGGAGGCCGAGGGAAGAGCCACTCAGAGGGCAAAGCATGGCCAACCAGGGCCCAGGCCTGGGGGCAAACAGGGCTGGCTGTGGTACCTTGCTCATCTGGCGGTAGTACTTCTGGTAGTCAGGGGGGCTGTCTGGGACCTGGGCAGCGTCCAAGAGGCACATGTGGAAAGCAGAGGAGGTCCCAGTCACACCGGGGCCGGCAGGTCTGGTGCGGAACATGCAGGGACCCGTAGCCGCTGCCCGACGGCCCTCTCAACCGTCAGAGCCGAAGGCCCCTTCAAGGCAGCACCGCTGTGGCCCGGGGCCCACAGCCCCATCCACTGCTGCAGAAACGTGCCCAGGCACCACCCTGAGGTGGAGAGGGCGGGCAGGGGTGCCAAGGCGGAGGTGAGGAGGCGGCACCCCTGCCTGTGGGGAGCACAGGCAGATTTTGCCTCACCTGTGAGATCCGGAGAAACTCATGTGCCTGCTGCAGGGAAGACGAAAACTCAGGCCTGTGTTGTGCCCCTGCCTGGAAGAGACAACAGAGGCTGAGCCGCTCGGGGGCACAAGCCTGCACAGCCGAACTGGTCCCCAAACAATCCTGGTGACATCTTGCCACCACTGGGAAACAGGAGCAAACCCACCCGAGTCTCAGGCTCTTCCGTTTCTGCTGACAAGTCAGGAAGATGTGATGGAGAAATGAAGGAGACAGAAAGGAGTCCACACCACACCCGGCCCAGCCCGGCCCGTGTCCAGAGGACCCCGGCCCCATCGAAGGCAGACCCCCATGTGGCCCAGACCCCTTCTCAAGGCTCTCCAGAATGTCACCACCCTCAATCCCACCAGCACAAAAACACATTCTGATTTCTCTCCAGCATGTGCTGAGAGGTATCCATGATAAGCAGTCTGAGTGTTGTGAAAAGCCTAGAGCCCACTCCCCCTGCTAGAAGCTTCCTGCCCTGTCTCCCCAGGAACAGATCTTACAAGGCTCCCTGCTCCTGAAGCCTCCCAGCCGGCCCACCACCCAAAGCTGCTGGGCAAGACCGCTGCCTCAGTGGGACCATCGCCAGAGGCCTCGGAGCCCAGGTGAGCCAAGAGTCAGGAGGTCTGCAACTGCCATGTCCGCACTGGAAGCAGCAGTGGACACCCGGGAAGGTCAACTAGAGGCTGAAGAACAAGGAGGCAGAGCCACGTACCTCTAGCAGAGCCTGGATGGCAAATGAGGTGTCCCACACCTGCGAGCCGTTGGTGCCCTGCACACAAGGACCAGCCGTTAGAGCAGCGCAGCTCCCCCGACCCACCCACCATCGCCCAGGATCTGACAGGCACCTGGGGAGCCAAGGAGAAGTCTGGGGGCTCCCAACAGCTCCTGCAAAGAGGTGGGAGCCCAGCCAACTCCTGACCCCAGGCCCCATGCTCTGTGCACCCCTCAAAGCCCATGAGGGCAGAAGAGGGGCTGTTCCTGCAGGCAGGTGAGGGTTGGGCAGCCCCACCCGCCTTCACCAGGCCACCAGCCAGGACAGAACCCTCTCAGGGCACTTCCAGGATCTGGACGACCACTGCCTGTGACTAGAAACATCCCCTCACATCTGAGTATGCCTGGAGGTGGTGGCGCCTGGCTGAGGCCTCAACGGAGCTGGGAAGGCCCTCTTCAAATCCCACCCTAGGAGCCTAGTTCAACAGTCAACACTCTGGTCCCACGAGAATGCCAGTGGCCAAATCACACTGAAACAGAGATAGGGACACTCAGATAATAGGGACAGGGCTGGCAACACCAGAGCCCAGACCAATTGACAGCCCTGAGGGGGCATCAGAAACCATGGCCTTGCAGGACAATACGCAGGAAGGACACCTGCCACCAGGAAAGCCTCCTGGCCAAAAGAAACCAGTTCAGGATCAAGCCTCAGGGTCTAACCTCCAGCTGCAGGAAACAGAGGGCACAGAGGAAACAACCAGGCAGATCCAGAAGGTGGGTGCTCTAAGGAACCAACCGCCCAGGAAGAAGGGCGCCTGGACCACTGGACAAAAGTGGCTTTGAGGACCAGCCACCTGGCTCAAACCCTGATGCCAACAAATGTGCCCCAAAACCACATGAGGGACTGTCGTCAAGCCTGCAAGGCGCTGACACAGCACAGTCCTTCTGTAAGAACGAATCAGCTAGGGCACCGAAGGATCCGACCACCTCCTCCTCTTCTTGGCACGTGCGAGTCGGGGAGCCGGGAGTAAGGCAAGGACGCCAAGGTGAACTCTGCGCTAGACGGTGCTGGGTCCATGTGTACGTGTCCTAAAGGGCAGTGGCCCATCTGATCCAAGAACACTGCTGGAGGCTCCACATTTCCACACTGAGCCGACTGGTGACCCAAACCTCACATTCTGGCATCTTGTAAGATCCCGTTAGCACGGCCCTTCTCACTCAAGTCCGATGTGCCTTACTCAGCGCTAAGTCAAAAGCCCGCACAGGATCACACTGCTGCTGAAAGGGAAACGACCCTGGGGCCTGTCGGCATCCCTGCCACTGGCTGTCCCCTCAGACGCAGGACTGCGGATACTTGCAGCCGCTCAGCACATGCTGCCAGAACTCACTGGGAGGAGCAGTTATCTTAACAAACCCAAAGAGCAGCAATGGTTGGTAAGGAAGCAAGTGGCCGTGGCCTTGTAGCCTTTACCTGCATTTTCATGCCATCGAGGCCCAGCCTGTGAGGACGAGAAAAGCCCAGGTCAGGGAGTAGAGGGCAAAGAGCTGAAGTCAGGTGGCCACCCAGAGCCCGGCTCAACCCACTTACGGCAGCAGGCCCACAGGACCACCAGAGGGAAGAGGGCCCCCTCGAATGCAGGACTCCCCACCATGGGACACCATGGGACACACCCACCCACCACGGTTGCACTGCAATCAGTGACTGATCAGTTGTCCTGGTCAGTGAGGCCTTCCTGACGTTCACCGGAACCTGCCCCTTCTGCCCACAGGCTTCCAAGTTCTACCTTCCAAAACCACCAGAAGTGCCCGCTACGTGGCAGATCTTTCAACTCAAAGATAACCCTCACCATCTTCCACAAACCCTGAAATTCCTCGTTCCAGGCGTTACTCCAGACCCCAAAGCACCCTTGGCAGGATGCTGAGATACGGGATCCTGTCACCTGCCACTGTGCCCAGGGAGGTCACCACGCGTGTCTGCCCTTGGCTCTCAGTCACACGTAACAGGAACCTAGTGACAGTGACCAGCCAGGCCCTTCCCACTACTCACCAGAGGTAGTCAGGAATCCTAGAGATGTGCTCCTGGAAGGCGGCGGAGGCTGGCCCATCCACGTACCAGCGCACAAGCATGTTGATGGTTTTCGAGATCTGTGGGAGACACGGCCCTATCGGGACCCTGCTCCAGGCCCGCAGCAGCTCCTGAGCACGAGGACTATAGCCCAAACACCGGGCCCCCAGCACCACCTCACTTTGGGCCAGACCAGGCCTTCCACCCTAAGCCCTGAGAGCCAGAGACCAAGCCAGAGTTGTACCCCAGAAAGGGAGGCAGGAAAGGCCTGAGGCATGTGCAGAGAGAAGGCAGGGCATCCTGTGAGAGACAACGTGAGCCGAGCCAGCTGGCGAGCAAGCACAGTCACCAGGAGGGCTGGGGGCCCCACACGGGGCCCCTGGTGGGCATGTGGGGTGTGCCGTGTCCTACATGCCTCAGATGGCTGACAGAGAACAGCATGGCCTGAGGAGCATGGGAGAGGCAGAGAGACAAGAGCTGTGGAGCAGGGACTGCTTTAGAATGTTCTGAAGGCCCAAACCTCGCACTCTGGCATCTCGTTAAGATCCCGTTGGCACTGCCCTTCTCACTCAAGTCAGATGCACTTTACTCAGCGCTAAGTCGAAAGCCCACACGGGATCACACGCTGCAGAAAGGGAAATGACTCACGGCTCCAAGCCCCACAGAACACCAGCGAGCAGGGTCGGGAGTGGAGCTGTGTGGTATGGCACCAACTGGACTGACTCAGAAAGGCTGCCATCATGGCCCGCCAGAGGCCCAAAACAACAGTCTTCTGTAGCTGTCACCCCACAGCTGAGAGGCAGCCCCCCAACCCTGCGCTGCCCGGGATACACCTGCCTCTACAGTGTGTCCACGCCGGGCCTCTGCCAGGCCCAGAGCCTCACGATGCAAAGCCAGGTCGGGAGCCCAGAGGCTCAGAGGTGAGAGCTCGGAGTCACCAGGCTCAGCAGGAACCGGGGCTGGAGCCCAAGCACCCCAGCACTCTAAACCCCACAAGGCAAGGGCAGACAGTGAGTTCTGTGGGGAGATGGTCAACGGAGGAAAAGCATCCCTCCCAACTGTCCAGAAAGATCTTGAGAGGTGGCCCAAGGAGCAGCATTCCAAGCACACCAGGTGGTGGGCAGGGAAGGGAGTGCTAAGTGCAGGAGGAACACAGGGGACAGAACGGGGGGTCCCGTCTGCCAGGCTCTGGTGGGAGACCTCACCTCCAGGAAGACCCCCACTCCCAGCTCCAGAGACTGGCCTCGAGAGGGCCTCCCGCCCCAGCTTCTTACCCTACACAGGGTGGGGTACAGACACAGGGCAGTGGGAGCACTGACCGGGCCAATGCTGATGCACTTGGAGAAGCGGTCGTCTGCTGCGATGTGCTCATACAGCTTCTGGATGGCCCGCTGCCGAAGGCTGGGGCTGTGGTGGCGTTCGTACAGGTTGAGTAGTGCTGCAGGGGCGAAGTCATCAGTATGGGACAGCACCCGGGCCCTTCCCTGCCCTGTCTTCCGCACCGGCTCTCCCTGACACCCTAGTGTGCCGCCCCGCCCTGCCCTGCCCCTAGTGCCTTGTTTCCCGAAGGGAAATCCAGCCGGGGTGCAGCTCAGCATTGACGGAGGCAGGGTCCCAGCTCCCACCGGGGGGCCCAGCACAGAAGACGTGACCAAGGGGATGCAGGGGCAAGGGAACATGACCCTTCCACACGCTGCACCCCTGCTGGCCTCCAAGCCACCAGGCTTCCCGCAGGGAGACGGGCCTACACCGGGCCCCACGGAGGCCTGTACCTTCTCCCCTGAGGGAAGGAACGAGCATGCCCTCCAGGCCTGCAGCTCCCAAACCTCCTGTCCAGGAGCCCCAGCCCCAGCCTTGCTCCAGGGGCAAAGACGGAGCACACCCACTGGACACGAAGCACACACGGCTGCCCCCTAGTCACACGGGACCCAAACGACAGCTGGTGAAAGGGGAGGAGACTCAGCACCACTTGAGGTGCCAGCCACGTCCTGGGAGGCCCGCCAGCCCGTCAGCAAGCACCCACCGAACACCACGCGGAGCAGCCAGCTGTGTGGTGTGTACAGCTCGTCAGGGGCCACGCTGCTCCTGTGTGCCGGCCACGCGACGCTGGCGTAGTCCTCCACGTACAGCTCCTGGGGGCAGCAGCACCTCAGCACCCTCCTCGCCCGCTGCCTCCCCAAGCACACACCCCAATGAACATCCTGCACCCGAGCCTCCTCTCGGGACCTGCTTCCCCCCAAGCACACACCCCAATGAG